GAGATCTGATAGGACAAGGCCCGTAGGAACAGCAGCAGTGGTTAGTATCAGTAGGTAGAGCTCCGCCGCGTGTCCAATCATTGTCAAGTGGAAGCTTCTCTTTGAAGTTTGAAGTTTGAACTAATAGATGAAAAAGCACAGGTGCTGCAGTACCACAGGGAACAACCAACAAAATATACAAAGGAGCTTTAGCTGGAGTTTGAGAATCTGTTTGATTTCCGATGGGTGATTGTAGGCACCGGTCGCTCAATTCGTTTTTAAAAGAAAGAAAGATAGGCTTGCCATTAAAAAAAAAACATAAAACTACCAGTTCCTCCGAAGTGGCCGCATGCGTGATGCAACGTGCTGGGATGAATGGGTCTGAAGTGCTGGCATATATTCATTCAAGTGCAAACTTCGTGGCACTGAAGCAATGGCTGGCCGCATGCACGGCTCGACCTCTGGAAGTACTGGCGGTTTAAATGCCAGTTAGCCCCGGCCTTTGCAACAACCTCCGGAAGTACTGGCGGTTTAAATGCCAGTTGGCCCCGGCCTTTGCAACAATGTTCGTCACCTACTCCACAAATTTCATTGTTTGGGCCTATGGACCGTGATGGCTGGCGGTGCCAACCTGATAAGGAAAAAAGTGCACCACTGGTGGTTCGGAAAAGCTTGGCGCGCATTGTACTGGCAATTCAATAAGAAGATTCCTCTTTGCGGATCTCTGGCAGATGCAAGTAATCCCAAAAGAACAAAAAGAGTAGCTAAAAGACTGGATCGAAAAAAGTCAATAGTGTTTGGAAAGAAGGTACAAGAATTCAATCAGGAAGGGTCTAGGGACAGTCCAAACCTTTGTCGGCCGACAGGACCGACAGCGCCAGCCAGCAGGAGGTACCTCCATACACAAAAGGTGGTCCGCAGCCAGAAACCTCCTCTTCTTCGACTGTGGCTTATGTGGAAGTGCTGCTGTGTTATTGTGCACCAAAATCCTGGACGCGTGCCTGGTGAGATAGATAGTCAACGGGTGCAGTAGTGAGAGAGAGAGTGAGCGAGGACATTCAGATAGGGATCACGAGGCCTGAGCGCAGCACTG